GGGGGGGGGGGGCATGGGGGAGTTGAGGCACTCCCATAGTGAGGGAGGGAGGGAGGAAGGGAGGGACTTTGGCAGGGAGTTTGGAGACACTGCCCAGCCAGGAGGAAAGCACAGCCTCAGGGCCTGGGCAGGGAGTGGAACAGAGCTGCTGGTGGATCATCTGCGGCATGGGTGACTGGTGCCTTCTGGCTTTGTGGGGGACACCAGCTGCCAATTGCACACAGGGGGGCCCCCGTGGCCGATCGCTGAGCCCGGGAGTGCCACTGGAAAAACTGGAAGTGCCACCAGTGCTTCTCGGGGGCTGCGGGGGTGGGGAAGGCACCAGCTGGTACTCCCCACTCCCCGGCTGGCGAGGGCCAATTTGAGGGGGGGCATGTGCCCCCTCACAAGCATCATCTATGGTCTGGGGGTGGTGGGGCTGGCTCCCTGCCACTGCATGCACTCCCAGGGGGCATGGTGGGCATGTGGCCCCCAGATTTGTGTGTGGATTGGGGGTGGCTGCAGGCTGGCAGCTGTGGGCTTGGGACTGCCCACCCCACTGCCCTCCTGCCAGGGGCCTCCACAGCCTAGCGGGCCGGACCTGTCACGGTCAGGGAGAGATGGGTGGGGAGGTTCAGTGCCATGGGCAGGAGCCCTGCACCACCATGGCGAGGTGACCCTTGCCCACTCAGCAGCAGTGGGGGTGGGGGTGCCAAGTTATGCCCTCCACTGCTGCTGGGTGGGCAGGGAGCACCTCGCCATGGTGATACAAGACTTCCGGCAGCAGCATCAAGCTTCCCCAGCTACCTCTGCCCTCCCACACTGGGTCCTGCCCACTAGGCTGCAGAAGCCCAGTGGAGAGGGCAGCAGGATGGGGAGCTCCACGCTTGCAGCCCCCAGTCTGCATCTGGCCCCACCATGGGCTCCGCTCCAGCTCCCATGGGGGAGGGGGAGCTGGACTCTATGCTCTGCTTGAGCTGCAGCAGCAGCTGCCTCTCACAGGCATCAGCCAGGGCTCAGGTGCTGCTGGGGGGAACAGTGGTTGTGGACCTTGGTCTCTGGCTCCATAGGCCTAGCAAGATGGGGGCCCCCTCTGGTAGGGTGTGAAGGTATGAGGGGCACCAGCAGGGCCAGAAGGCTATGGGTCAGGAGTGAGGGGCACTGCCAGAGCTGGGGGGGGAGGGGCTGTGGATGTGGAATGAGAGGCACCAGCAGGCCCAGGAGGCTGTGGGTGGGGAATGAGGGCACCAGAACTGCTGGGGGGCTGTGGCTGGGGAGTGAGGGGCAATGACATGGGGAGAACACCAGCATATCAGGGCTGCTCAGTGCCACACCTGGCCTCGCATCCTGGTGGGTAAAGGGGGCAGGGGATGCTCTGATTTTCCATGATAAAAAACCCAAAATCAAATGCCAAAATTTATAGGTATTTATAATTTATTTTATTATAGTGATTGAGGCACTGGTAGGCTTCCAAATTGTTTTAAAAATGTAAATATTTCAATAGCACATTGTGCTCAACTGATACTTGTATATAGTGACATTTCATTTTAATTGCAGAAAAACATGGATTTTGGTGGTTTCTAATCAAAGAATTTGGATTTTTTTAAAAATCCAACAAGCTGGAATTCCAGCACATCAGAGCATGCTCATGTACAGGCAGCGCCTCCATGCTCATGTTTTGTCCATTATTTTTTGTTTGCATCATTTTCTCTTAGCAAAAATGTATGGAAAACAAAATGTTAGTAGGGGGCATTACAGTTTATAATAAACAGGATCAGTTAGTACATAGTACTGATATTAGACCTTTTGTTCTGTAGAATTCTCTGTCTTGGAGTTAATATGGAGCTGTGAGAGCTGAAGAGCAACCAAAACTAGGCAGGAAATTAGCTGCTTTCAAGCCATGTGCCTCCCAGAGATTCTGGGTATTAGATGGAAAGACTTAATCACAAGGAAATGTAAGAAATCACCAGTTGGCAGCCTGGCTCTACCACAAACCAAAGGAAGTGCTGGAGAGATTTGTACTCCAGAAGCCAACCCACAGACTTCCTTATAAAGCCATCAACTGGGAAACAACGAGTGTGAGGAAATGAAGGTCCCATGAGAAACCTTAAGAAGATTCTTTAGCACAGAGGCCAGAGCAGTTGATCTGAAAATAACAGAACAGCTGGAAGTAGCAGCTAATGATAAAGAGAGGAGGGTCTTCAACTAGTTTCCACCCTTTGCACTAATGCTGACAAAGGACAGATGAAAATAATAGCAAAAATGCTATGATGTGATCCAGTGATCTTAGCCAGTGTAATAGCATAATGGGGAGTTCAGCACTCAGTGGTATTGCAGATTCATTCAACAAGCACCAGCTTGTTTCTGACGAAGCTTTCCTTCACTTTGCCTGCAAGAAAAGGGAAGGTCAGAGGAATAATTAGAGACAGTGACTTCATGTTCCAGATTATAATTTCACTGAATGAGGTTACCATATTTCCAGTATCAGAAAAGAGGACACCTGTGGGGGGGAAGACCAGAGGCGGGGGCCCTACCCTATGCTCGTGCCCTACCTCTGCCCCTCACTCCTAAGCCCCCTGCCCTGCTGGTCCCCCTCACTCCCAACCCACAGCCCCCCAGCCCGGATGCCCATGCAGCTCCTGCATGCATGCTTACACACACACACTGTCTCTTACCTGCCTAGGCCAGTGCAAAGAGCACATGACCCCTGACAGCCGTTCACCTTGCCTGCTGCTCCCAGCCCCAAGTAACCAAGCTTCTAGTTCCCAGGAAATCAAGGGCAAGGGAGTGGGGAGACGGCAAACCCCCCTGCTCCTGTCCAGCTGCAAACTCCACGCCACTCTTGGCCAGCTGCAAAACTCCTCTTCCTCCTAGGTCCTATGTGCCGCTCCACCCACCCCACCCCACCAGTCTGAGTTCACCAGCCATGCCTGCACTGAAGGATAAAATAAAGAGAAATAAAAAAAAAATTAAAAAGGAATAAAGAGGAAGTAAACTAAAGAAGGTCTCATGTTTTACTAAATTGGGATTTGGGATTGGGTTGTGGGGTGTGCTGGTCATACTTCCTGGGGTGGCTGGGAGGTGGAGCAGTGAGGGAAGGCACTTTTGGGAAAGCAACTGCTGCTTCCCTGGGAAGGAAGCCCCAGCTCATGGGGACCTGATCCAGCCCCCTACCTTGTTTCCTCCCCCACCTCCCCCTGACCCCACTCCTGGGCCCATCCATACCCTGCAACCTGGCTATGTGCTCTTCAGGCTGTTTG